CAAGTGAGAAATATATATTTCAAAAGATATAGCTAATATATTATAGAATTCTAGTAATTAATTTGTATGTGTTATGAAATAAAAAAAAGTTTTTAAGGGATAATTCTGTGAATAGAGGTTTAGAGTGCAATTAAGTGAGTTTAAAATACTAAAATTTTTTTAATGGAACTATTCTGTACTATGGAATGTCGTATGCTTGACTAGTAATTAAATCAGTTAGAAACAATATAAACGTGGCAATATATATGCAGATTGGATTAATTGTTTCTAATAGTTGAATTAAAAAAGTAAGTGAATTTAATAATTATCGATATTATTCATTGTGCGATTTTAATTTTGGAAAACAATTAAAATAATTGCACTCTTTTTATTTTACTGTCTAAATGAATTTTAGAAATATGTGTACCTATTGTAAAGACAAATATTATTCTATTGAAAGCAAAAAAAATTCTTCTTTATTTCTCTCTCTTACTTCTCTTAATTGCAATTTTTTTCTTCATTGCATAATAAGATTTATCTATCATTTCGTAATTAGTTTTTAATGGGGATAACATACAGGATAAATCACTCACAACATTGATATGCATGAAAGAAAAAAATTTCATTCCTATATCTCTTCTTATAAATTAATATGAAAATAATTAAAATAATTAAAAAACTGTAGAAATAAAAAAAAATCAAATTCATATATCTTCATCCTGAATTTCAATAATTTACATTACAACGAAAATTTAATGCAATAAATGTTAAGGTATTACGATAAATTAAATGGAAATTTAATATCGATATAGATATTCTTTAAAATGAAATATCGTAAATATTAATTCTAACTGATGAAAACAATATCCAACTATCCCATTACCCATACAACAAGCAACCTTTTGTGAGCCATAACAATAAATTTTAAAGATACGAAACGTACAACTTATGATATTTTTCATAAAAATCACCCAAATTGATCTGAAAATTATTAATTTCGCCATTGAAAAGAAAACAATATCAGAACTGATATGAAATTCAAGTCTTTAATATAGTGAATATACTCAGATAATGACCATGAGAATTAATACAATGTATTATGAAGAACAATGCTAGCAAACTCATTTAATTGACTGATGTTCTCGAGAAATATATTAAATTCCCAAATATAATTACCGAAATGTTATTTATAGCAAGCTTGGAAATTTTACGTAGATTTTATAAAATATCAGATTTCGTTGGAAATGTATTACTTTTATGTAATTTGTACGAGAATTAAAATTCTTACTTTTTGAGATAAAATTCTTCAAAAAATTGCGACGAAAATTACATAATTTTTAATTTTCATTTTAAATTATATTTAATTTTTTTTACAGTTTTTACATCTATCTTGGGATGGTTGAAAATTTTATAAAAAAAATTTTGCTCTCATTTAATTTCATTCTATTCTTTCTTTTCTTTCTCAAAATATAAAGTAAAAAAGATAAAAGACTTTCAAGATATTAATTTGAGTTATTTACAAATTAAGGAACGACGTTGCGTAATTATATTATAAATACTCGTTAAACGTTAAAAGAAAGAAAAATTTAGAAAAATACGTTATTACGCTGCTATGAAAAATCGTTGTTACAAAAGAGAAAAAGGGAGAAAGGGAAACGTGAAAGGGAACAAAGTACGCTAGCTTCCACGAGTAAACTATTACAGATAGATACAGTATTAACCGTGTTTTACGAGTTATTATGTGATATTAGCAGTGGCCTGTGATAAAGTAAAAAGTTGAAAAGAACTTCAGTCTATTCTAACCTCGTAAAAGACCTCATAAAAGCTCCTGCCTCTATTGCCCGTATTTTCCCGAGTCAACAACCGAATAAAATTTCTTTTTTTTTCTAATCAGAACTAGATCGATTTATTCATCTGAACTTTAACACGTTACCACGATTAACATCAAAACTTCACAACGAAATTTTTTTCGTAAAGAAGAAGAAGAAGAAGAAGAAGGAGAAAAAGAAGAAGAAGAAAAAACCACACAGCAATATATTTCAATCAAGAATTTCCTAGGAAAAAAAGCTTGTAAGCTTCTAATCAATTTTAATTAACTGTATCTACATCTATCTAACGTACAGAGCATTCAAGAAAAAGAAAATATTTTAGAATCTGTGAAAAATAATAAAAAAATTCTATTTGATTATTAAATATAAATATAAAATTTAAAAAATTTGTTTTCTTTCATTGAAGTGCTATGATACGAAAAAATAAAAATATAAAAAAGAAGAAGAAAGAAAGAATAAATTCAATAGATTTTTATTTATAGGAATAAATTTCGAAATACCTTGAACTTAAATAATTTCTATTCGAAAGATATTAAAAAGTATTGCAAGAATATCTATATCGATAACTAGAATATAATAGAAACATGAAAATATAAGATAATCGAAATAAAATGGAAATGGAAATAAAATAATAAAAAATAAAATTCATAAACAAAATAAGATCCCATAAAGTAATAATTCTTCTATGATCATTACCATGTCATCTCTTTTTTTTATTATCTTTAAAATATATTAGAAACATAAAACTAAACCTCTAGTATAAATCGTTCAATTTAAATTTTATTTTATAGATCATTTTTCCAAGAAATTCCTCGATATCTTTTAATTTTTGAAATGAAAAAATATCGAGTTATTTCTTATAATTTGATTTTGGTTAGAAAATACGATAAAATACTTCGCATCGTCATTACACTGACGAGTATCTGATTATAGTTCCTCTATCGTTCTCTCTTATTACTATCATTGCATAATCATGTTATACGTTCTGTTTGTTGCGCCAATATTTAACATCCAGCAATAAATTATCCGCAAATTCTACGTTTCTAATCTTATTTACCTTTTAATTTCCTTTCCCTTTCTGATTTTGTAGCCATACTGTTAAAATATCCTTCCTTCTTGCGTATTTCCTTTCCTCTGGTTTCAGTTATTAAATAAATAAACAAAGCAAAACCAAAATCAAATCATCGTGATTCATTGTTTACCTTTATTGAAGCGTACTCGATAAAGACATTTAGATAATCAAATTTTATTTTGTGAATTATGAACACAAATTAATTTATAGAGTACATTGATTAAAATATAATAACGGATTGTTATTAATCTTTCATGTAAATAAATGGTTTATTAAAAAAAAACTAATTAATAAAAATCTACCGATGGAAAATTCAAGAAACAAAATGGATAGATTTGTTATTTGATTTTGCTTTAGAAATTCAAAGTGCTTTAGAAGTTCAAAGAAGATATGATGTAATCTATAAAATAACTTGATATTATAAAATTATAGATATTTGATTTTGCAACTTGAGATGAAAATTAAAATATTATAATTATTCTAATCCTAGTGATTATTTAAGTTTCATCTCTACAATTCTTTCAAATTCTTTATCCATTATTAAATTTGAGAAATATGTAATAAATGAATCCACTTTTTGAAGATAATTAATTTTTGAATTATTCAATATTTCATATATATCTACAATAGCTATAGACCAACATCAAACAAAACTTTTGCCAAAATTAGATGAAAACAAAAGTTTTATTGGAAGATAATATGTAAATATTTTTTTATATTTGCTGTAAAAATAATATAATTAATCAAAATTGGACATTATTTAGATCAATATATCTACATAAATAATTGTTTCAATCATATTATCGTTCATTATTATCATTTGTTATATATACACATTTATAACAATTTTAATAGATGTTAATTTAATAATCACTCATTATAACAAAGCTATAATATAATCGATAATATAATTAACATTAAATGAACAATATTTTAATGAATATTACTTATAATTGATGCTATCATGCTTGTGAGTTCAATATTAAGATAATGTTCAAATATTTAAATTAAAAAATTATATAAATAATTATCAAATCACATCTGAATTAATAATTAGAATTTTTAAATTGTTATTCATTAAATAATATTTTGTCTATATCTGATAAAATTACATATTCTTTGTAAAAAAAAAAATTTTGTTTCTTTATAAAGAAACAAATTAATTATTTGAATATTCGAATATCATAGTATTTTTGAATTTTTATGAGCATAATTGAAATTGAAGTAAATAATTATCACTAAATGTAAAAAAATTAAGATTTTAATTTATTAAAATATGTGATATTTCTTATAAAAGATTAATTAATGATAGAAATACACATATTTTATATTCAAAATTATTATATATGTAATAATGTTGTTACATATATGAATACATATTCACAAAAATATTTAATTAATGGTTCTAATTGAATCTCAACTAATTAAATCAAAAAAAAAAAAAAAAAAAAAAATTCAACAAATATAAATATTACGTTTAATTAATCATTTAAATAAAATATATCTTTTAATTAAGAGTTAAAAAAATAAATAATAACATTATTTGTATTAAAAATATTCAATTCAAAAAAATTAAATCGAGTAATTTTACAATTCTAAATGTTCAATTCCCAATAATAATATTAAAATATTAAATGTTTATATATATAATAATATATAATTTATATATAATTAATATATATATTAACTATATATATTAATTATATATAATTACTTATAATTAATATATAATTTATGAATTAATATGAAATTTTAGATTTTTTTACTAATAATGAAAATATGAAAATACTTTTCAATATTAAAGGATAAGTTACTTTGCGTTTACTTTATTATAAATATATTGCTTAATCAAACAATTAAATGTTATTTCTTATTCGATTTCTAATTTTTAAATCATTATTTTATATATTTAAATGTTATTCAAAAAAGGGCGAATAAGGAAATATACAGTAAAATAAAGCAAAATATAGAAGTTTATAAATGTTTTTTCATCAATCAATGTCTATATAACTATATAACTATGATAATCGAATATTCAAATGATTGATAGTTGGTGATTTAAAATAATGAACTACATATCGAAAAACATTATCGCCAGTTAAAAGGAATATAATACTTACCTTAATAGTGAATTGTCTGCATGCTGGTTTGTATGCATTCGTTCCACAAACAAGAAATTGATCAGGTCCTTGTCTGCCGAATACTCGTACATAATTTTGACACTCGTCCTCACTACGTCCTTTCAGATAACAAAGTTCGCGATGCGCCCCGCTGCTGGACCACTGCAACCTCTACAACAAACAAGATCAAACAAAAGTTACATTTATATAATTCCCGAAATGTAGCATTTCATGTCAGATTACAAGAAATAGATTGAATCGTAACAGGAAGGGAAAAAAAAATATAATTGCAAAAATAATATTTAAAATTAATGAATAACCGAAACAAACCTAACCTTTTATCTCATTTTATAATTTTTTGTAGCCAAGTAATTCATCACACAGAACACTTTTATCACAATTACTGTAAAAGTATATAATTATTATCAATAATAAAATATCGAATATAAGTACTTTTAAATCTAAATATGCTAATTATTAGAAAATAATAATAAAATTGAAATACAAGAATACCGAACACACAACACTTGACAAGAAACATTCGCCATATTGAAACTTTATTGCGCGCGAAAATATACTAAAATATGTAATATTTCGAACTAAATTGTGAACAATTGAATTCCAAAACGAATTTTAAGTTCTTTAAAACAAGAATACACAATTACTACGAATAAAAATCACAAATAAGGAAATACAAAATATCTACATAAGATTCGAAATATAAATTCACAATATGTTAATTATTAGAATTTAATATAAGAATTAAGCAAAATGACACACAATTGCTTGACGAGACATTCGCCATATTGAAAAATTATGCGCGAAACCGTGCTAGAAATCACCATACTGCGCACAAACTTCAAACAATTCAAATCAAAAATAAAATTTGAAAAATTTAATACAAGAACTCACATTTATTATTAAAAAGAATATATCGCAAAACAGAAATTCCATATTTGATGGGCCTAGTCATCAAAATATAAAATTTATTAAAAATTAATTGCAAAATTCACATCAGTAATACTACATTCATACAATGCCTTACAAAATCATCATACTGAAATATTTATACATATATTTATACATATACGTAATACTTCGAACAAAATTACGAATACGAATACTAAAATGAAATCTCTAATCGATTGTAACAATATACACTTATTATTAATAACAATGTATTCCAAGACAAAATTCCTCTAACTGAATAAGAATTTAAAGTAGAAATATGTCAATTATTAGAAAATAATGTAAAGATCGAAACACACGTATTACGAACACACAATGCCTGACAAAGGACGATCGCCATATTGAAAAGATTATTACCCGCCAAAGTATAGTTTATTCTCTAACATTTTAAAAAGTACCAATAATCAAATTCGTAATGAAACTCGTAATTCTTACCAAATGAATATATATTTATTCCTAATAACAATGTA